TCAAATTCACCCTATAGTTTTTGTTTTGTTTTGCAGTGTTAGGTATTTCACTGCGGGCTTCACGAATAATGCCAGGCCACTGAGCTATGCCCCAGTCTACCCTACAGCTTTTACTTATTTATTTACTTATATTAATTTGTTCACTTAGCAGTACTGGGCATTAAACCCAAGGCTTTCACACTGAGCTACATCCCCAGCCCTCTTTTTTTTTTTTTTGGTCTCTTTGAGACAGGGTCTTGTCATGCAGTTCAGGCTGGCCTTGAGCTCACTTTGTAGCCCAGGCTGGCATTGAACTCGCAACAATCCTCCTGTCTCAGCCTCCTGAATGCTGGGATTACAGGTGTGCACCACCATGCCCGGCCCCAGCCCCCTTTTAATATGTTTTTTTTTTTTTTTTTTAGACAAGGTTTCATCAATTCATTGAGTTGTCCAGGCTAGATCAGAACTTTTGATCTTTCTGCCTCAGCCTCCCAGAGTCCTGGGATTATAGACATGCACCAATATAGCCAGCAGCCTATGTTATTGAAACTCCACACTTTGTTCCTCCCTCCTCTTGCTGGATCATCCTGTCCTGGAGATTTTTGTTTGCCAAGAATTCATTCATCCTTCACAGAGCATCTCTTTAGTTTTTAAAAATTTTTTTTTTTTTTTTTTTTTTTTCCTGGTACCGGGAATCGAACTCATGACCTTGAGCTTGCCAGGCAGGCGCTGTGCCACTGAGCTAAATCCCCAGCTCCCAGAGCATCTCTTTAAAAAAAAAAAACCCCTTGCAATATTCCAACTGGAGATGTTTTCTTTCTATACTTTGTCTTTCTGGTGCCTGGTGTGGTGATTAGTGGACTTCTCCTACCCGCCCTACTTAAACCCCTGGAGGGCAGGAACTACGGCCCTCAGACAATTAGGTACGGGGTAGATGTTTAATGACATTAGGTGGTGTTAGATTTGGGCCCTAAACGCTGTTCCCAGAGAACACTCTTACTCTGGCTCCAGCCCTCAGTTTCGGGGAAGCTGAGAGGAGACATTTGCCCCAAGCAAGCTCTGACCACTACCCACATCACTCACTCACGGTGGCCAACTGTCCCAGTTTGCCCAAGGCTAAGAGGTTCCTGATTTATGGGACTTTCAGCTAAAATCAAGACAATCCCAGGCAAACTGGTATGGCTGGTCACCCTAATTATCCTCGAGTGGAGGTGCCACCTCTAAACCACAAGGCTTCTCAACTGGGTTCAAGAACTATTGCCCAGTTGTGTGACCCGAGGCAAATCACTAAGTATCTTTGAACCCTGCTTTATTCATCTGCCAAAAGGGAATTAAACCTGCCTGCTCATCTCCCCAGAGTTATTTTAAGAATCAAATGAGAAAAAGGAAGTAAAAAGTGTCTCTAAAATGACTTTTCCCATCAGAGGGGAAACCATATCCTGCCCTTTCTTTACAATTCTCCTGCCTGTCCCACTCCCAGCACAGGACTTGGGGCAATCACGTTCCCGTTTCCCCTGCCCCAACTTACCCAGAGACCTGCCTGCTCATCTCCCCAGAGTTATTTTAAGAATCAAATGAGAAAAAGGAAGTAAAAAGTGTCTCTAAAATGACTTTGTTGGTTCTCCCGCAAGGGGGTAAGTTGGTTCTCCCGCAAGTGCTTCCCCCTCACCCGATGACCCTGATAACGGTTCCCCCACAATAGCCTCCGACAAAGCTCCCTCACCAGGATGCCCTGGATGATGGTCTGCCGGCCCTTGCCCTCGTAGTCCACCACCTCGATGTAGTCCAGGTAGGCATCAGCCCAGTAGACAAGGCGGCTAACCAGGTCCAGCGTGATGCCATGAGGGAAGACAATCTTGCTGTCAACCAGCTTGGTACGGTTCTGCCCGTCCATGTCACAGCGCTCAACCTTTGGTATCTGCCCGTAGTCAGTGAAGAACACCTTCCTGTGGGCAGACGCACGTTAACTGAGGCTGCTAGGTACCTTCTTCCCCACGACAGCATCTGCCTCCCTCCTTCCAAGGCCAGAACCCCCGCCTGCCACTCTCACCCCATGGCAGGATCCAGGGCTATGCCCTTGGGGTTGTAGAGTTCCAGGTCCAGCAAAGTGACACACGTGTCCCCATTTCGGTTGCAGACAAAAATCCTATCATCGATGTCATCCACAAAGTAGAAGTTGCCTGTCAGCCAGTCGATGGCCATCTGTTCCACATCTGGAGGGTGTGCATGGAAGAGCTGTTGGGGGGGACACTCCCACAGGTACACCCCCCACCCCTGGCTGGTGCAGAGCCCACACCTGTGAGCCTGCCCTCGCTAGGGCGCCCTCCTCTCCCACCCCGTGGCTTTCCCTGGGTTCCTGCAGGCGTCGTTTACAGTGTCACTCTGAGTCCTATATTGTCTGCCACATTTCCATCTATCTAGCCTCTCCAAAAAGAAGTCTCTGAGTGCCTGCACACACACCCCCATTTCCCATGTGGGGTTCAGGTGCCACACACACAGGTACGGGGTAAATGCCGGCTGACTGGTTGACTGACAGGCTTCTGCAGCTCTAGCCCATCCTTAAACAGGACCTATCTTCTCAGGATCCCAAAAGGTCCATGAGGTCATTCTAGTACCTCATTTTTTAAATCTGCTTTTACTTGAGCTAAGACCACCCAAGCTAACTACAACATGACGCATCTTTGCTTTCTGCTGGACTTTTATCTCCTTGCTATTACAGCAGTTATCTCACACTGAATAGAAGTGCAGACCAGAAGCCATACATGTTGCACACATTCTAAAAATGGAAAAGCAGGATACACATCAATATACCCAGTTACCGAGAAAAATATTCCCAAATATGGGGCCTGCAGAGGTCTAAAAGGGAAGGCTCAGGGTGGCACCCTGGGAACAGGACCGTGGGCCAATCTTTCTCTATTCATTCACCCTATGCCCCCGATTCTCCCAAGTGCCTATTACCCAATTTCCTCATTTCTTAGGGAGGATCAGAAGAATGGGGAGTAAGACACAGGGCTGGAGGAGAGTCCAGGAGAACCCTAAAGGTGGATTGAAGAACGCTCAGAGAGAGGGCTTCAGGAAGGTGGAAGTGGAGGGCGAGGACAGAAACAAGGTGCCCACACTCAGCTGAAGCCACAGTTGTGGAAGAGGCCCAGAGGGCCAAAGAAAGGAGTGCAGCAAGGGTAGAGCAAAGACCAAGAAGTCTGGGGACAAGGACCCTGTTAGCCTCCTCCGGACCCCGTCTCTCCAACCCTCTAGCTTCTGTTTTCACTGGCCTCCTACAACTGCATCACCAGAGGTTGTTACATCTTGCAAAGTCGGAAAGTCCTACAGGAGTGACTTTTTGGGACTCTTGCCTTAATGCCACCTCTACTAATTTTCCCAATAGGTAAAGAAATCTTTGGACGGCCCGGCCCGCCTCTGGCTAAAACTTACCCCACACTCAACCCGGTAGGGATTATTCTGTCTTCCCACAGCGACAGGTATAATGACCTGGGTTTTACTCAAGTCCTCCCTAATCCCGCTCCTCCCCAGAAGGGTTCAGGGGCTGTTTCCTAACAGCAGCCGTGGGGGGGCAGGGGAACTGGAACAGGCTCCCAAGGAACTTGGCTGGCAGGTCACTGACTCACAGTCACAGGACTGAGGCTAGGGGGAGGAAGGGAAAGAGCCAATAGGAGGCCCTCATCAAACTCGTTTCCTCTTCAGGTCTTCTCTATCACCCCAAGACAACTGGAGAAAGAGGTCACAGGAATGACCTACTATTTGTGTAAATACTGATGCATCCCCATACTCAGTCATTATTTTTTCCCTCTGGGTGCCTAATACTGGCCTCTCCTGGGGAGAAAGAGCCGAGTAGCCAGGCTACCGAGGGAGAGGGCCCAGTGCAAGGGTTAAGGTGGCCAAACTGCCCCACACGCTGTGACCACAAGGAAGCCAGATTGAAATGAATGCTGGCGGCTGCGTTCCAAAGGAAGCTGACGTCCCAGATCAGGGACCTGCCTGCAGCTCAGGCAGCCGGCAGGGTGGCTGAAAGTCAAACAGGGCTGCGTGCCCTTTACTTGGTGGGCACGGCAGGGGTCTGGGGGTTGCTGGCATGTAAAGGAACTTCATCAGTCAAAGCTGTTTTCCCAGCACCAGCTGGCGCATATGTCCTTTCCAACTTCCTGAGGCTTCCCTGAGTCACTGCCCAGCCTGGGGCTGGCAACACCCTGCTCCTGCTCCTCCATCCACCCTTCCTTTGGCAGGAGGGGCAGAGGAAGAAACCTGCAGGGAGCTGATGCCCCAATCCTAGGTGCTGCCCCACCGGCATCCGCCCAAGCCTCCCTCCTGGCCTGGATTTCTTCCCACTTCCGGGAACAAAGGCAGAGAGATGGCCCCTGCTCTTAGATATTTACCTTTGGGCCGTCTCCCCTTCCACCTCCCCACAGGCCAGGCAGGGCCCCGCTCAGCAGGCCGGTGAGGAGTTGGCAAGAGCTGGAGCCTGCCTGGCCTCCTCTTTAGTATTTTTGCAGCTGGAGACTATTAGTTGTAAGCAAAAATCCTTTGTTATCCAATCCCTCTCCACCACATTATTTTCCCCTCTCCTAAAGTTCAGATTCCTCTGCTTGCCCCAACACACACACACACACACACACACACACACACACACACACACGCACGTACGCACACACATGCACACGCAGAGCCGCCATTCCAAAACCTGGTGTCAGACTGGGAGGGCTACCCTTGAACCTCCAGAGTGGAGTGCTGGCCTCTGGGCCACTCCCATCTGTCCTATAGCTTTGGCCTGGGGACCTGAGCCCTCTGACTCCTCAAACCTAGCCCTTGAGGCTCAGCCTTTTCGGGCTGACCTGCGCCAGTGGCGCTTTGGCCAAGGGCTCCAATCCTTCGGACAGGAGAATCTCAACTCCAAGGGGAGGAAAAGGGTCCTGTGTTGAGGGAGGAATTTGGCAGTGGCCTGGTGGCCAAGAAGTGAGGATTCTAGCATAAAGGGTGAGGCTAGGGAGCTGGGAAGGGGATGTGTGAGTCAGAGGGGAGGTCACAGGCCGCCTGTGATGTTGCAAAGGACTTTCAGTTCCAGGCCCCAGAATAGACCTGAGATGTGTGTTCGCAAGTGCTGAGCCATCTGGACAGCCCCTGCCCAGCGCTCCACACGCTGCACAGCACACAGCTCCAGTGTCTCTCAACTTCTCCATCACCAGTATTGTTCAAGAGGCATTTCCCAAATAGATGCTGCTTTTAGAAATAACTATGGCTTCAGTTACAGAGTTCCAGTCACTTTTTTTTTTGGTACCGGGAATCGAACTCATGACCTCAGGCTTGCCAGGTAAGCACTTACGCTGCTGGGCTACCTCCCCAGCCCTCCAGTCACTTTCTTGAAAGTATGGAAATCTGGAGGAAGGAAGGAGTCTTTATATCCTAAGAAAATGTCCCCCAACGTACCCACGCACCCAAAGATTTAGGGTTAGGTGCCAGGTCCCTGGATGGGGAAGGAGAATCCAATTTCCACCTTAGCCACATCCCCAAGGAACACACTGGCTTCTGGCCTCTTGTCCAGGCACCCACATCCATTCCCACCGCTCTGCTCTTCTCTGAGTCCAGGTGAGGCCTGGACACTGACAGCCTTGGTCTGAATTCTGGTTCTGTCATCTTCCGACTATGGGATTATGAGCAAGCTACTCAATATCGCTGTCCTTGTTTGTTCATCTGTAAAATGGCATCGTGCAATAACAGCTCTTAGCACAGGGCTTGGCACATACAAAGCACTCCTCACGTGGGACCTACTGCTCACGCCACTGTCCTCCCTCACACCAACCCCATCCTTTCCCACCAGCCTCCTTTTCTATCAAACTGCCATCTGTGCCTCTAGACAGAGGCGGGAAACCAGGGGGTCACAGCGACTGCCCCTCCAGGCCAGCTCAGGCTTCCAGAGGAAATGCATCCTAGGAGAAGAGCTCTCCCTATGGGAAGGAATGCTCTCTATGGGAAGAGCTCTTCCTGAAGGAGGGAGTTTTCCTTACTGGCAGGAGCTCTCCCTGTTATAAGCTTCATGGCCCCTGCAGCCGCTTTCATTACACCAGTTCACCTCACTGCAGCTCTCAGCAGCGCAGGGCACTGCCTTTCATCCCTGTCCCAGGCACCTCACACACGTGTATTGACTTGTTTAACAGCTGTTCGTTGTTCTGTTGTCCAACAACTGGGACATCACTTTTTTCCTTCTCTTCTGCCACCAGGATCCTCTTTCTCTGTCCTTCGATGCCTCAGGACAGTGGGAGAGGATGTTGCCTCTCGGGGATCTCACCCAGGGCGCTGACCAAGTCCAGGGACTTCAAAGGTGGAGCAGGAGACTCTCGGACAGGGCCGGCACAAGCTTTGCTAAACGACACAGCCTAACACTCCTGTCTGTTGCAGGACCCTGACTTCGGCTCTCTCTTGCTCCACCAGCAAGTCTGGAGCTTAGCTACACTGTCACCTCTTCCCTCTGGGCACTGCTCCTGCCCCTCCTTGCACTTCCAGCCCGGGGCTTATGCCCTGTTCCTGGTTTAGGGGACCTGGTTTAGGTCCCCGAGAAACATTTTGTCCTGGATCTCGGGGAGCAGATGCCTGGGTTCTGCTCTTCTTGTCTTAGGGTCTTTTGAAAAACCCTTGCTGGGCTCTAAAACATGTCTGTCTTGCTTAAGTTACTTCCTTTGGCTTGAAAACAAGGAGGGTGCTGGGGCAGGCTGGGTGGAGAGGCAACTTCAAGGAGACAGCGGGGGAGGAGAGGACAGGGCTGGATCTGGGCCGGGAGACACAGGGCTGGCCCTGGCTGGGAAAGTAGGAGCAAAAGGGCTGTTGGATGATTAGGAAACTGGGAATGTGACTAGGAGGCCAAAGTGCCAGGATACAGGGGTTTGAGGGCCAAAGAGTATGGTGGCTGGGCGCTCCTGCTCCTGCTGCTCCCAGAATTCTGACACCCTGTGGGTCAGAAAGGTCAAAGAAGTGGGGAGCCTTGCACATGGAAAGGCCAGAGGTGTTGTGTACAGGGGTGCTGAGAGGGTCTGGGGTGCCCGCTACAGTGGGCAGACAGCTCTCTTTCCAGTTCATCACAGACTCCGCGGGACTGCTGTCTGCCCCTTTTTGGCCTCCCTCCCTCCTGGACAAATCACTACCCCATTTCCTGTTGTGATTTTAAAAACACACACACCAGAGAGAGAGAGGCAGAGAGAGAGAGAGAGAAGTGAGGTTGGCCAGCTGGACTTGGGGACTCGTTTCGCAACCCTGCTCCCTGCAGCTTGGGGGACCTTTTCTGAGCCTCCCCACCTACCTCATTCTTCCCCAGGCAGCGAGGAACAGAGGGGAAACCTAGAATCCCTGAGACCCTCCAGAGTGTCCTCTCACACACAGCCCAACATTTCTTAGGGACTGCAGTAAACCCTATTTGCTTCCAGACCTCAATTTGCAAGCTCAGAGCCTTCCCTCATCATACCCCCACCTTCCCAGGCCTCAGACCCGCAGTCAGACTCATTCTTCCTACAGTGGAAAAATCCTCAGGGCTGAAGGGAAGATGGGCCAGAGGAGCTCAGCTGAGGAAACGCAGCGCTGGAGCAGGTGGGATGTGCATGAGGGTGAGCAGATGTGACCACCAGCCCAGCCCAGGAAGCCATGCAGGAGGTAGGCTGGCCAGAGGTCCCTTGAGAGGGTGGTCCGAAGTGGGGATTAGGGTGGGCAGGCTGGGTCCTGGCTCTGGGACCGTCAGGGCCTCAGTCTCCAGAACTTCCGTCTTGTTCATCACTTTCAAATACTTGCCATATGTATCTATAGCTTACCCTATTACCTACTTTGTATTTCTTTATTTATTTTTTTATTTTTTGTTTTTTTCCAGTACCAGGAATTGAACTCACGACCTCGCACTGGCCAGGAAGGCACTGTACCGCTGAGCTAAATCCCCAGCCCCTGTATTTCTTTAAATCAACTCACTTTTCTTATTTTGTTGCATCCTAAATAATCTAGGAAACCACAGGCTTGATATGCTAGGTATAGGAGTTTCTTAATAATAGTACCAAGTAAATACATAATAATAATTTTTAAAAACCTTGTCCATGTGCCATTTAAAGTTAAGACACAGCCACTTTGGGAAAGGAAATACTAAAAACCAAGAGGTTGGCCTCAGTGCTTGCTAAGGGTCTTCCTTTCTCTTCTGGCTCCTACAATCAAGCCCTCCAGGCATGGACTTGGAGTCTCGTAGGCCCCTATCCCCCTGGGACAATGGCAGCAGCAGGGAGGATGGGCGCTGGCTGTAACCCCAGGGGGGAGGGAAGAGATGACCCACCTGATTCAGGGCAATGGGACCTGAGGCTGGAGGAAGAAGGATGGAATGACTGCAGGGAGGGCCACCCTGGAGGGCGGGCGGAGAAGGCAGGAGAAAGCAGTAACCTTTTTCTCCATTCTCTAGGGGAGCTAATTATAGGTCAGGAGCCTACTGAGCAGGTGAGTGCAGGGGGCCCAGTCACCCTACACCCCAGGCTAGGCCTCCTCCTGGGGAGGGGGATGAGCTAGGGAGGGGGAGGGTGCTAGGGAGAGACACTTCGACATCCTCAGCTCAGGGCCCATAATTACTTTGTGGGATGAGAGCAAAACAACCATCCTCAGGGTGACAGCCAGACATTCTGGCGTCAGGGGTGTGGGATGGGGGCAGGGCTAGTAGGAAAGGACAGAAGCTGGGGCGAGAAGAACCCACTCATTCACCCCATTTCCCTCCAGAACCTTGGTCTCTTCCAGACTCCTGGACTCTGCCCTAGAGGGGCCCAGTGAATCTAGTAGACTGAGAGGCAAGGCTCTGCCTGGGTGTCCGCCTAAGGTTATTCCTTCCTTCCGGGGAGGAAGCCAGCAGAAGTTGAGGAGGTTCTTGTCACAGCACCCCAGAGTCACCTACCCACTAGGGCTGGAGAGGACACTGCGGGACATAGTTGCCCAGCGAAGACTGAAGGGTAGGGCAATGGACAGGGAACTGGACTGCGGAGGGCAGCTGTCTCATGAGATCTTCCCCAAGTCCACTCTATCTGCTATATCCTTGAGCTGTCAACCTCTCAAGAGCTTGGCAGTCCTCTAGTCAGCACCCCAAGGAGGACCCATATCTGATTACAGGTGAGCCTTGGACACGAACAGCCCAAAGACACCATCACGGATGCTCTGAAGGAGCTGAGGGTTGAGGTGGGAGCCCTAACATGAAGCCACAGAGTGAGGGGCTCCTCTGCCCTCCCTCATCTCCAGAAGCCCCTTTCTCTCTCCCAGAATGAACCCCTTGCAACCTCCTGGGATCTTCTTTTTTCTATAGGGATCATCATAGAACTGAGTAAAGGAACTCAAAGATCTTCTAGAGGGTTTGGGGATGTAGCTTAGTAGTAGCAAATATTTAGTATGCAAGAAGCCCTGGGTTTGATCCCTAGCACAGAATAAGAAAGAATAAGAATAAGAATAAGAATAAGAATAAGAATAAGAATAAGAATAAGAATAAGAATAAGAATAAGAGGAAGAAAAGGAAGAAGAAGAAGAAGAAGAAGAAGAAGAAGAAGAAGAAGAAGAAGAAGAAGAAGAAGAA